GCCGTCATGCTATCTTCATCTCTGGAGTAGTTCTGTGTAGAAAATCCTGCAGCCTGCTTTTGGACTCTGTTCATCATTTCGATATAATGTTGGTCTTGATAAGTGTCCCATACTGCTCCAGCGTAGTCCATTATGGGACAGACTAGAGTGGTATATGCTCTTGCCCTAGCTTCCTCTGGGCAGACTCGGAGGTTACTTTGGGGGAAGCCTACCAACCTATCTACCTTCGATGATGTAGCACTGATGTGATCATGCCAGGACTCAGGAGAGGTCGTTCCTGATGGTGACACCAAGGTATTGGCTGTTCTCTACCTCTGCAAGTTGGATTCTGTTCATGTGATTGTTAGTTTTCTGGATGTTCCTTCTACGAGTTACATGCATGAAAACGTACTTGTCTGGGTAAAAATCAATCTGCCAATTGCATGTCCACTGGTGGAGGGCATTGAGATTGCCCTGTAGCTCAATGCCGTCTCAGGCAGAATGTATTTGTTGGTTGGATTTCACTACCTACGGCAGGTCATTTATATTCAGCAAGAATTAAGGGTCCGGTCACCGTGCCCTGGGAACTCCTGATAGTACGTCCACTTCTGATGATCTGTTCCCTTCAGCGCCAACTCGTTGTTTCCTGCTGTATAAACAGTTCCTGATCCATTGATGTATGTTCCCTCGGATCCCATAGTGGTGGAGCTTGTGAAGGAGACATTGATGTATGTTCCCTCGGATCCCATAGTGGTGGAGCTTGTGAAGGAGACATTGATGTATGTTCCCTCGGATCCCATAGTGGTGGAGCTTGTGAAGGAGACATTGATGTATGTTCCCTCGGATCCCATAGTGGTGGAGCTTGTGAAGGAGACATTGATGTATGTTCCCTCGGATCCCATAGTGGTGGAGCTTGTGAAGGAGACATTGATGTATGTTCCCTCGGATCCCATAGTGGTGGAGCTTGTGAAGGAGACATTGATGTATGTTCCCTCGGATCCCATAGTGGTGGAGCTTGTGAAGGAGACATTGATGTATGTTCCCTCGGATCCCATAGTGGTGGAGCTTGTGAAGGAGACATTGATGTATGTTTCCTCGGATCCCATAGTGGTGGAGCTTGTGAAGGAGACATTGGTGTGGGATCTTGTCGAAGACCTTAGAGAAGTCCAAAAGAATGATGTCTGTCTGCTTCCCACTGTCAGTGCCCTCTGCAATGTCATCAATGGTCTTCACCAACTAGGTCTTGCATGACCACCTTCTCCGGAATCGGTGCTGGGTGTCAGACAGAATCTGTTCTTGGTCCAGGTGTTCCATGATAGAGCTATGTAGGATGTGTTCGATTAACTTTGAACATGTTACAGTCAATGACACAGGTCTGCAGTTAGCAGCGCTTGACCGGTCGCCCTTCTTGAAAACCGTAACAACATAGGCTAGTTTTCATGCATTGAGTCAAGTGATGACTGGAATATCATCCTTAGGACAGGTGTTGTTTCTTCCTGTAGCTCATTGAGTAGCCTTGCTGGTCCGGAGTCCGGTCTTGAAGCCTTGTGAGGCTTAGGAGTCCTCCCAGAAGCTTAAATACTCATGTCCATGTGCTGATGGTGACCCATAGATTGCATAGTGGTACAGCATTGTTGTACAGCGGGCCATCTCTCTTCTTCAAGAGTACAACTCCAGAAAACATCTGTCTTTTACTCTTGATAAAGGACCAGAATTGTTTTGGGTTCTGCACTCAGTGTGGACTGATGATGTTGTTGACATACTGGTTGTGGGGAGATCTGATTTCCTCCTTGCCTCAGTCTTCAGGGTAATACCTTCTCCAGTCACGATCCTTTTCCTTAGCTTTGGCTTTGTAGTAGGCTCGGTCCAAACGTCTGATGAGTCGTCTGATAATAACAAGAGGCCCAATGGGCCTGAATCGCTCACCTGGTATTAATCTCACAAATAATCTTTAAAGTGGACTAAAATACAGCTACAGGCAGAATATCAGTGTTTGACTCATAAGAACCTATTAAAAGATTTAAACATATGACGCCTGTGACCTTGAATGTCGAATAAGGACATAAGGTTGAACAGAGTTTATAGTTGTCCAACCAAGCATGCTTCTGGCAAAATATCATTAACCTCAGGACCTTTTGGTTATACAGAACAAGTCATTTAAAGATTTAAACATATATTGACCACTGTGACCTTGCATATGGGCGAAGGTCATTCATTTGAAAAAAACTGGTAGTCCTTAATCCCAGCATGTTAATGGCCAAATATCATCACCCTTAGCCTTTTGCTTATTGAGAAGAGGTCGTTTAAAGGTTTTAAACATATTTGACCCCTGTGACCTTGAATAATTGTCAAGGTCATTCATTTGAACATATTTGGTAGCCCTTCATCCCAGCATCTAACTGGCAAAATATCATAACCCTAGGCCCCTTGGTAGTTCAGAAGAAGTTGTTTAAAGATTTTAACATATTTGACCCCTGCAACCTTGAAAATGGGTGAAGGTCATTTGTTTGAACAAACTTGGTAGCCCTTGATTCCAGGATGCTACTGGCCAAATATCATCATCCAAGGCTGTTTGGTTATTGAGAAGAAGTTGTTTTAAAGGTTTTAAACATATTTGACCTCTGCGACCTTGGAAATGGGAGAAGGTCATTTGTTTGAACAAACTTGGTTGCCATTCATCCAAGCATGATACTGGCCAAATATCATCACCCTTAGCCTTTTAGTTACTGAGAAGAAGTTGTTGAAAGGTATTTAACATATTTGACCCCTACAACCTTGAAAATGGGTGAAGGTCATTTGTTTGAAAAAATTTGGTAGCCCTTCATTTCAGCATGTTACTGGGCAAATATCATCACCCTAGGCCTTTTGGTTATTCAGAAGAAGTCGTTCAAAGATTTTAACATATTTGACCCCTGTGACCTTGAAAATGGATAAAGGTCATTCATTTGAACAAACTTGGTAGCCCTTGATTCCAGGATGCTACTGGCCAAATATCATCATCCAAGGCTGTTTGGTTATTGAGAAGAAGTTGTTTTAAAGGTTTTAAACATATTTGACCCCTGTGACCTTGGAAATGGGAGAAGGTCATTTGTTTGAACAAACTTGGTAGCCCTTCATCCCAGCATGTTACTGGCCAAATATCATCACCCTAGGCCTCTTGGTTCTTCAGAAGAAGTTGTTCAAAGATTTTAACATATTTGACCCCTGTGACCTTGAAAATGGATGAAGGTCATTCATTTGAACAAACTTGGTAGCCCTTGATTCCAGGATGCTACTGGCCAAATATCATCATCCTAGGCCTTTCGGTTACTGAAAAGAAGTTGTTTAAGTAAAAAGTTGACGCCGGACAGACGGACGACGGACGCCGCACCATGGCATAAGCTCACTTGCCCTTCGGGCAGGTGAGCTAGTAATAATGATTGATAATAATTTGAGGTTCTTATATACCGCTTTATCACAATCTAGTTCATAGGTCGTCTCAAAGTGGTTCACAATTTATTATCCGTGGTTATGGGACCTTTACAACCAACCAATACCTTTCTCAACTCCCTGGGGAGCATTGAGCCGGTGCTGCCATTTTGACGCTCACAGCTAGTATTCTACAATTCTAGCACTGCCCAACCAAGTACTCATTTACAGCTGAGTAGACTGGATTAAATGGAGTAAATTATCTTGCTCAAAAATACAACACAGTGCTGTGCCGTGACTCGAACCTCAACCCTTCAGTGACGAGCCCAGAGTCCTACCACTAGACTACCGTGCCTCCTAAATGTCTCCTGATGTACATGTCAGTGTTAATCCACAGGTTTGTGTGGCACGATCAGGACATTTTGCTCAGGACATTCTTAGACTGGATGTTGCTCAGGACATTCTTAGACTAGATGTTGCTCAGGTTAAGATGGAAGTCCTCCCACATTTCACTGACGTTACCAAAGTTTTATCGTCATGAATCCTCTAGCAAATGATGAGGAATCATCATGGAGGCCCTGAAGGTAACAGCCTTGTTCCAGAGATGAATTGATCAAATTCAGATGTTTAATCAATTCAGAGATCAAATCGATTGTGATGCCAATAGGCTAGCTTGGCGATCAGTACTAAAACCTCAGTAGTCATGGTAGTCTAAATTTAACTGACCATTTCGATATCTCTCATTTTTGTTTCTGTTTTTCTTTTTCTGCCTTTTTCTGCATAGTTGTTTCAACATGTTCAGGTTGGGACCCCCCCAACCCTCTCAAACTCCCATCAAATTCTGTTTCTTCGGCCCGATAGTTTCAGTACCTAAGATCAGGATGTTGCGGTTCCTTTGTAAATCTGGAAAATGCTGAAAAGTCTTCGCAAATCATCCAGTCCATTAAGAGAACTTAAAGGCTCCAATCAAAATTGGGACCAGTGTTCTAGAGTTACTAGTAACAGTAGCATTATCTAAAACATCGTTATGTGTAGAGGTTTGATACTATGGTACCGTAAAATGTTAATAATTCTTTGTCATACATGCTTTATGTTGTGAATAGGTCAAACTTCAGCTTATTATAAAGTATCAACTAGGGTCAATGACAACATGGACTTTAATAAGTAAAAGTCATTAAATTTTAGAAATGCCCAGGGTTGTAATATTTTCAAGCAGCTACCAGACTTCAGAGATATAGTCCTATAATGTTCTAACAACATCAAAACAACTAAAGTTTATGGTCATAATATTGATGCTGTGGCAATGGGGAAGAACATATATAGCAAGGTTGCACTACTTGTAATGAGAATATATCGCAGTGATTTTCTTAGATATCCAGATGAATGATACAGGCCATGTGGACCTTTTTTTATGTCCAAGAGCAATAGAAATGTCAAGTTTGAAGTTGTAAGTATCCTGTAGTTAAATTGTTTAACCGAAGTAGCTTTTGACAGGGTATCATTGGCAGAGTGTCCATCAATAATTTGTGGGTACCAAGTTCTAACTTCCATCTGGTCTGTTACATTCTCACACCTGTTATATGTCTATCACTTTATATTACATCTACTTACAGAAACACATATGAGAAAGAAGTCAAAGCTAAGAAGGGCGTGTCAAAGACTGGCAAACATTCTGGGTCTAAGCACAAGAAACCTGAGGCCCATGTGTACATTCCTCCTATGAGACAGCAGAAAGGTACCGCTAATTCACACTTGGAGTCATGTGCTCTTTTCCACACTCTACCAGAAACATTTTGATTGATTGTCTTAAAAAAATCAGAAAAAAGATGTGTATAGATCATAATTGCCAGTTAAGGTATTTCCTCAAGCATTTGAACATATTCGGCATAAGAAAGTTGTAAATGAAACTTGTTGTAGGCCCATGAGTTTTCGTCAAAATATTGGTAATAATTTGTCAATCTTGTAATAAAGTAGAGGGTACCAATAAACTGTTTATTACCACTGTCACTGTAATGTGACTATTTGTTTCGGTGTTTTTGAAAAGAAGTATTTGGTAAAAAGCACATGTTGCAATGCATTTTATCAAATCATAGATAGTTGTTTGATATTTGAATGTTTGAAAATTTAAATTTCTAAAGAAAAAAATAATCTGAATTTCAAATGCAAAGTGTTTCACTTATTACTTTGTTTTATTTCCTTTTAAATAGGAAAATTTTATCAAGAACTATTTTTTCTTTTTTTCTAGATGAAAATTTGAAAGAAGAAATGTTTTGTTTGGAGTTTGAAGACAAAAATGGAGAAGTTTACAACTTCACGGTCTACCAGGTTCGTGATTTAAGACAGGTTTGCGTCATCGACAGCCATCAGTTTCTTTTTAGCTCACTATTATCACTTTGGTTCATGGTCCGACTGTGGTTCTTCCTTGGGCAACTTTTGTTATTACTATTTCACAATAATTACTGGTTGAATCTTTCTCCAATATCATATGTAGGTTCCAATTGGTCCTTGGTTGTGCATGTATTATTTTGAGACTGATCATATCTTGGATTTTTAACATTTGTAGTTATTTTCACTGTTTGCCATAAAGTATTGTAAAGATCTTTCTTAAATGTCACAAGCAGGTTTTTCTTCATCCTTAGTTGTACATTTTTAATTTTAGGAATGGTCACATGCCAAGTGGCCATCTAGGATATTGACTGTTAATGTTTGTTTTCTCTATTCATTAAGAAGTACTGGATGGATCTTTCCCCAATTTCAGATGTAGGTTCCCGTTGATCCTTTAATAGTTGTGTTTGTTCCTTTTTGAATCTGATACCCAGAAGAACATGTTCACCAGGCAGCTATCAGATTTTAACAGTTAAAAATTATCCCTATTTATAATTTCTTGGAAACTTTGAGGTATTTTTTTTTAAACTTCACATATAGCTAGGTTCCTGCTGGTCCAAATTTGGGCATAGTCAATTTTGAGACTGTTTAACAAAAAACATGCAAAAAATGCAACAAATTCACCTTTGTTGACATCACAGGTAGCATTTGTTTACTGATGTGTTTGTTTGTACATTTTACCTGTGAACTCCATGAAGTATATTGATCTTTGATTATTGACCTTTCAAAACCTTTTATTTCTCTATTTTTTCTTCCAGTGTGACAGAGCTGGGGCGGTTGCTAGAAGAATTGGTCAAGAGGCACAGTTACCTCCCTTGTTTGTGGGTGCACTGGAGGAGAGACTACAGCAAGAGTTTGAAAACCATGCCAGTCAGAACAATCCTATTTCCTGAACACTTACCAGACTAAGGGTCACTCACCAAGCCTGTCTCCACAGGTTTCTGATCAAAGGTTCTAGCATGCTAAATTGGATGATTCTGCTGTGGCCAGGGACTGGCTACACAAGTAGCCTGACCATGAGTATCAGAGCTGTCTCAGTTCAGGAACAAAGCTTGTCGGACACCAAACAGCATTGCAGTGTCGACAGATGGTCAAAGTTTGCAATTTCTTCACCTTTGTACGTTTGTCATGGACTAGTACACTTTTTTGAACTGGACTGATTCTGTTTTAGATAGACTATTAAATACACTTGACTCTATCCCTTAGCAGTGCTGTATCATGCTTCCGCTCGCTGTGCTCTTGTTTACCTTCAGATGCAGAAATATAGAGCATATCTTGGCCACTGTTATATATACGGACATTAAACTTGGTATCTAGGAACATCATGAGAAGGCACTGAACAGGACACTATAATCCCCACTTAACCTTGATGTTGAGGACCCCAAATACAGGTTTCTGTGCCATATCTTATGCAAAGATTCATGTAGGGAGATCATGCTTCGTATGCTTATACCTACCATGGTCAGATGATGTGTAGCATACCAAAAAAGGATCAGTTAAACCTCTCTTCTGTATCGTTTTATATAAAAATCTTAAGGTGTGTGAACAAAGTCCCCACTTCAAATTAAATCTAGTTTCCTAATATTCCTTTATGTATTTCCATTATAATATGGCCAAACCCCTTTATATAAAGCTAACACTTTAATGGGCAAAAAGTTAGCATGATAAAATTGTTTTAGTATATCATTTTGAAGCATTCCAGAAAGTTTCCTTACTATTGTAGCCCCTGTAGGTATACTGGATAAAACATACACTTACCTGTTGGATATACGAACGTTTTGTGTTGCGCATGAGCATTTTTAGGTCACCTGAGCTTTAGCTCAAGTGACCTATTGCTACCCGTTTTCGTCCCTCGTCGTCCGTCGTCCGTCGTCCGTTAACATTTTACATTTCAAACTTAAAGTCAAGTTCTGCTGGACCGATTGAACTGAAAGTTGGTAGGAATGATCGTCTCATGGTCCTGACAAAGTTAAGTTAACATTATACTATTTTTTACTCAAATTGGTACATATTTCAACAACAAAAATAAATACTATAGACTCAGGTGACCGTTAAGGCCCATGGGCCTCTTGTTTCAGACATCATCTACTGGGTGTATTGAATGTACAGTATCAGCACAGAGGTAAACAAGAGTAAACACTTCACCAGGTGCTGAGTAGCTGATAGATAGCTATGTTGCAGGCATAAAGGCTTTTTTGTAGAGTTTCCATACGCTAGACATGATACAGTAATAGCAGTATTTTCTTAAGGGATCATTGCGTTTACTTTTCAATTCAAACAAAAGGAACACAGGGCCTTACCACTCACATGAGATTTATGACCTAATTAAAATGAAAAAAGATGAACAGACACTGTAAGAGGCATACTACTTTATGGCACAATAATGTTTACATCATTATGATCATACTGAAAGTTCAAAACAGACTTTCAAGACAATTGAATGGCGGCCATATTTTATTTCAAGTCTGACCCAGGACCATGCCCTAATCATTTACATGAAGTTTCAGCAGTAGAATTTGAGTTTAATTATCAAATAGGTTTTCAAAATGGCTGCAATGGTGGCCTTATTGGATTTCAAATCGACTTGACAATAAGAAGAATTTGTCAAGACCATGTTTTGTCAAAATTGCTTTCATAGAGTTTGAGTTTAAATTCCATTTTTTTTTTTTTAATTGCTGCCATATTGGTATTCAAATCAGGTTTAAAAAAACATTAATTGGTCAGGACCATGTGTTTATCATTTCCAATAAGTTTCAGCAAAATTGTTATACTGGTAATTTGAGCTTAAAAGAGCAGCTGATTTAGCTACTTTGTGTCTAGAATTTATGTCTGTTTTACATGCCTCACATTGAAATCGGAAATATAAATAAGTTTGTGTTCAAGGGGTTCGGATCCAAGGTCTAGTTCATTGTTTGTAAATAAAAAATCTTAATCATCACTCTACTGGCTTCATTTTCTTTCTGATTTGAATGCTACTCGATACAATTGTTCAGAACACAAAAATTTACTTAAAGGGCTTGCCTTTCAGGGTTGTAGATCCAAGGTCAAGGTCATTTTTATGAATAGAAAATATGTTTCATTGCTCTTTTTGCTTGTGATTTTCACAAAACTATATACCGGGTTAATAGTTTTTTGGTACACAAATACCTTGAACATGTTCAAGTTTTAGAGTTGTAGAATCAGGGTTTGAGTTGTTATTACCTGGTACTTGGCAGTATACATGGGAAATAATCTAGATTGGTTCCAGTGGCTGGCTCTACCCCTGGAGGAACCTTAGTCCCTTGATCACAACTTTGAAAACAGTTGAGGTCCTCATCCCATAACCATATTACCGTATTTTACCGGCAATAAGCCCCCTCCCCACTTTGGTAAATGTCCTGGGAACAGGGTGGGTGCCTGCCATTAAGCCCCTACCCCACCCCCCACCCCTTAAAGGGGAAAAAAATCCCGTGGATAACAGAACTTGCTTGCCTACATGTGTTTAATACATGAAACAAAAAATTGACATTTGTACAATCTGATTAAAATCATGTACCTTCTTACTCCTATAACATGAGAGGCCGCTGGTCGGCCTTTTTTCTATCGGATATGATTTTGACGACTGCAACCTCTTATTTACGAAGCACTAATTCTATTAATGCAGATTCCACCTGAAATCCGGGCAGAACAAAATCGGCTTGAAAAACTCACTTAGGTGGTTAACAGTTCATGACAACGATGTCTACTCAGGGTTCATATATTATAGATCTCATATGTATGCCACAGATACAAATATATAGTATATTACGGAATAGAACATGAACTTTTTTATGTCGAAATATTTACTGGACACTCAACAGTAGAGGTGAGATAAAGACCAAGATGGTAGACCATGTTGAATTTATGTGAACAGGGGGGTTGCTAGCACTTTTGGCCCATCTTTTTTCTCAGGAGGGGGGGGGGNATTGGTGGTAAAATAAATACGGTATTGCTTGGCATAAAGATAGCATGAAACACATATATGCTATCAGAGTTGGTCCTGGGGTATTGGTACTCGATTCCCTGGTCACAACACGAACATTGCTGAGATCCTCACTCTATAACAATTTAATATGCAATTGCTTGGCATAAAAAGATGAATACACATATGCTTTCAGCCAACAGGGACTTTCTGGTTCATAAAATGGAAATGGTCAAGATCCACAGCAACTTTTGAGATCCCTACCCTATAACAACATGAACAATTGCTGAGCAACAAAGGACCACTTAAAATTCATGTAAATCCTCCTGTTTATATCAACATTAAGCGTTGATATGTCATTGCCTAACATTGATATGTAGGCACCAAGCATTATTAGCTCACCTGGCACGAAGTGCCAAGTGAGCTTATGCCGTGGCGCGGCGTCCGTCGTCCGTCGTCCGTCCGTCCTTCCGTCCTCGTCCGTCAACTTTTCCTTTAAACAACTTCTTCTGAAGAACGGACAGGCCTAGAGTCATGATATTTGGCTGAAAGCTTCGTTGGTAGGAGCCCTACAAAGTTTGAGAACGAAAATGACCTTGACCTGTTTTCAAGGTCACAGGGGTCAAATATGTCAAAAACTTCAAACGACTTCTTCT